AGAAAATCTTTGTATCTACCTATCATCTAGAAGCACGCTTCCCCCCTCCCCCGCATTGAGTTGTGCTGCCTTTCTAGATTGAACCAATATATGCCTCACATGTATTGACTGATGTCTTATGTTTCCCTGAAACATATGAAACTAAGCTGTAACTGAACCACCTTGGACACATTTCTCAGGACCTCTTGAGACTGTCCCTCGGCCGATGGTCACTCATATTTGGCTCAAAGTAAACCTCTTTAAACATTTTAGAGAGTTTGACTTTGTTCGTCAACAGTAACAACTGTTCTAACTTCTAGAATAATAGGTTAGTTGTTAGCTGGTACAGCAGCTCACATCTGTAATCCCAGCATTTGGGAGGCTGGGGTGGAAGAACTCCTTGAGCCCAGGAGTTTGAGACAAGCCTGGGCAACATAGTGACATCTTAGCTCCACAAAATTTTTTTTTAATTAGTGGGGTGCGTCTGGGTGTGGTAGCTCACGCCTGTAATCCCAGCACTTTGGGAGGCTGAGGTGGGCAGATCACGAGGTCAGGAGATCTAGACCATCCTGCCCAACATGGTGTAACCCCGTCTCTACTAAAAATACATAAATTAGCTAAGCGTGGTGGTGAGTGCCTGTAATTCCGGGGAGACTGAGGCAGAAGAATTGCTTGAACCCAGGAGGCGGAGGTTGTAGTGAGCCGAGATCACTGCCACTGCACTCCAGCCTTGGCAACAGAGTAAGACTTCGGCTCAAAAAAAAAAAAAAAGTAGGCCAGGCATGGTGGCTCATGCCTGTAATTCCAGCATTTGGGAGGCCGAGGCAGGCAGATCACCTGAGGTCAGGAGTTTGAGACCAGCCTGACCAACATGGAGAAACCCTGTCTCTACAGGGTTTTGTATTTGTAAAAATACAAAATTAGCTGGGTGTGGTGTTGCATGCCTGTAATCCCAGCTACTCGGGAGGCCGAGGCAGGAGAATCACTTGAAGCCAGGAGGTGGGGGTTGCGGTGAGCAGAGATCTTGCCATTAAACTCCAGCCTGGGCAACAAGAGCAAAACTCCATCTCAAAAAAAAACAAAAACAAAAACAAAAAAATAGTGGGGTACGGTGGTATGTGCCTGTAGTCCCAGCTACTTGGGAGGCTGATATGTTAAACAAGGGGTGGATTATTCGTGCCTCTCGTTTTTCCACCATATAGGGTAACTTTGCCATGGCATTTGTAAACTGTCATGGTGCTAAAGGGAGTGTAGCAGTGAGGACGATCATCACCATCTTGGTTTTGGTGGATTTTGGCCAACTCCCTTACTGCAACCTGTTTTATCAGCAAGGTCTTTATGACCTGTATCCTGTGCTGATTTCCTATCTCATCCTGTGGCTTAGAATGCCTGACTGTCTGGGAATGTAGCCCAGTAGGTCTCAGCCTTATTTTACCCAGCCCCTACTCAAGATGGAGTTGCTCTGGTTCAAACGCCTCTGACGATCATAGCTCACTGGAATTTTAAACTCCTGGGCCTCAGGTGATCCTTCCACGGTGGTCTCCCAAAGCACTGGGATTATGAGTATGGGCCATCATGCCCAACCCTATCCATTTCTTTTTCTCTTAAAACAGGGTTTCACTCTGTTGCCCAGGCTGGAGTACAGTGGCACAATCTCAGCTCAATGCAGCCTCAATCTCCTGGGTCAAGCAATTCCCTCACCTCCTTCTACTGAGCAGCTGGGACTATAGGCACCTGCTACCATGCCCAGCTACTTTTTTGTAGATACGGGGTCTCCCTGTGGTGCCCAGGCTGGTCTTGAACTCCTTGCCTCTGGCCTCAGCCTCCTGGCCTCAGCCTCCCAAAGTGCTGGGATTATAGGCGTGAGTAACCACACCTGGAACCATTCTATTTTTGTTTGTTTTTGAGATAAGATCTTACTTTGATACCCAGGTTGGAGTGCAGTGATGTGATCATCGCTCACTTAGCCTCAACCTCCCTGGCTCAAGTGATTCTCCTGCCTCAGCCTCCTGAATAGCTGGGACTACAGGCACACGCTACCATGTCCAGCCAACTCACATATTTTTTTGTAGTGTTGGGGTTTTGCTGTGTTGCCCAGGCTGTTCTCCAGCTCCTGAGCTCGAGCAATCCACCCGTCTTGGCCTCCAAAAGCATTAGGATTACAGGCAAGAGCCACCGCACCCAGCCCCCATCCTATGTGTAATGGGCATCTGGGTGTCCAGTGTTTGGCTCTTGCAAACAGTGTGAAGCATAGTTTTCATTCTGAGTCTGGTTTTAAGAGGGAGTGTTAACTATTCAAGTTAAAAAAACAAAGACTGCTTGTGGTAAACAATAGAAACAAATGAACATTCCACAGACGCCTTTGTTCACCCTAAAAATGGCTCCCAGGGTTGGAAGCCCATATGCGAAAGAGGCAAAAAGAAAGGGAGCCCAGAGCAGAGAGTGATTGACAGCAGCCTGCGTCCCTGTTTGCTTCTCCAAGGCAACCCCTTGCCCCACCTCCTAATTGGGCCTAAATCAGTAGCTTTTCAAAACACCTGCTGGGTATCCAAATTGACCTGTTTAAGGGCTCTATGATGAACTCATTGTCATGTTGTCAATGAACCAAGATGCAGGTGGGTCATCTCCTTAGAACAGTTAAAGCCCTGTGAAGGCTCTCCAGAGTTCTGACCTTTCCTGCATGGGTCAGAAAACGTGCAGCTCCATAGAATCAGGGATTTCTGCTGAAAGGGGTCTAAGGGAGGATCTAGGCCCACTCCTTACTCTACAGATGAGGGAATTGAGTCCCTGAGAGCTGACGTGCTCAAAATTACATGTAGAGTCATGAGTGGGGCTGGATGTTGATTTAGAACCACATCTTCAACTTCAGGGGTTTTGCTTGTTTTTCTTTTACTAGGCTACATTGTAACATGACCTTACCTCTCCACAGCATTTTGCAATATGATGCAGATTGCCTTATTTTCTGACTTCTTCCATTTATAGTAGTTTTTCTCTGGCTAAAATGTTACTACCCTCTTCTGTGACCTCCTCATTTTTGTTACTGTTTTGCTTTCTATTTTGTCCATCAGTGTGCAATCAATGACATGTATATGGCCTGAATAACAGAGGTGGGAACTCATGTGCTGATATCCCTTAGAAACTAGGAGTTTTCAATAGTCAAACAATTAAAGAGTAATTACTTTTTTTGTTGTTGGTCAGGCTGGAGCGCAATGGCACGATCTCAGCTCACCACCACCTCTGCCTCCTGGGTTCAAGCAATTCTCCTGCCTCAGCCTCCTGAGTAGCTGGGATTACAGGCATACGCCACAACGCCTGACTAATTTTGTATTTTTATTAGAGACGGTTTTTCTCCATGTTGGTCAGGATGGTCTCAAACTCACAACCTCAGGTGATCCACCTGCCTCAGCCTCCCAAAGTGCTGGGATTATAGGCGTGGGCCACCACACCTGGTTTTATTTTCTTTTGAGACAGGGTTTCACTCTTGCTGTGCAGGCTGGAGTGCAATGGCACCATCTCAGCTCACTGCAACCTCCATCTCCCAGGTTCAAGTGATTCTCCTGCATTTGCCTCCCAAGTAGCTGGGAGTATAGGCCTGCGCCACCATGGCTGGCCAATTTTGTATTTTTAGTAGAAACAGAGTTTCACTATGTTGGTCAGGCTGGTCTCGGACGCCTGACTTCAAGTTTTTCTCCTGCCTTGGCCTCCCAAAGTGCTGGGATTACAGGAGTGAGCCACTGTGCCCAGGCTGAGTAATTACTTACATTTTTGTTTCATTTTGTCCTGTTTTGAGACAGAGTCTCACTCTGTTGCCCAGGTTGCAGTGCAATGGCACAATCTCGGCTCACTGCAACCTTCACCTCCCAGACTCAAGTGATCCTGCCACCTCAGCCTCCTGAGTAGCTGGGATTACAAGCGCCTGCCATCATGCCTGACAAATTTTTGTATTGTTAGTAGAGACAAGGTTTCACCATGTTGGCCAGGCTGGTCTCAAACTCCTGACATCAAGTGATTCACCTGCCTTGGCCTCCGAAAGTGCTAGGATTACAGGCGTGAGCTACCACGCTCAGCCTCTAATATATATATATTTTAAAAATTCACAGGAAATGAATGTTAACAGTGTTTTTTTAATGAGGTTGATAGAATTATGAATAGTTTTCCTTATTTAGAATTCTCTGAGTTTTTACAATCAGAAAAAAATCCTATAAAGAAAACAAGAGGAAAATAATACTTTTAAAATGGCACTCCCCAAATCTGAGCCTGATATCAACTTCTAGTGGGTCTGGGGTTAATTTTAGGGGCTAGATTGTCAAAACAAAGAAAGAAACACAAACACACACACCAGCTCTCTTATTAAAATGATAAGCAGCTGGAGTTTGGTTTTTGTGCCTCCATCTTATCACTATACCTAACCAATATGGCGCACACTAAATATTACGTATCCCATTCCATTTTCAGAGTCTACGTATTGCTCAACAAATGTGCACGTGCTGCTCAGGCTTCAGAACGTTTTGCCCATGAAGGCAGCAGGATGGTGACCAAATTATTCCAAATATGGGGCCAGATTCTTCTGAAGCCCATTCTCCTGGTTGTAAGAAAGGTAGCTAAGATTTTCTTTTTCATCTTGAATGTATTAAGAACTTACTGTTTGCCAAATGCTAGGCCAAACATAAAGGATAATGGGAAGAAGCGCATCCTGGGAGCTCACCATCCTGAGGGGGGACACAGGTAAGAAAAATTAAATTAGAGTCCAAAGGACGGTGTGCTGGGATGGATTTACAAACAGGATGCTGTGGGCACTCTTGTGGTAGAAGGACCCAGCCAAGCCAGACCTGTGGGAGACTCAGGGGAGATCCCCAAGGGTGGTGCCTGGTGTGCTTTGCTGCATGAGAAGAATCAGGTGCGCATCATCCTCAGGTCAGGGCATGCTGGCCAGGGCATAGTGCCAGATCCTACCCTCTGCTCCTGCTTTGTCTCTGCCCTAAAGTTACCCATTCAACCAAGTCTTTTTTTTTTTTTTTTTTTCAGAAAATTATTTTAATAGTTACAAAACTTTTTTTTTTTTTACAGAATCAGTATAAAATAGCAGTTGATTTCTCCATAATTATCAGAATTATTTATATTTGAGGTCTTGGCTAAGTGGGGCTGAAATCAACAAAAGGTCTTGGACTGTTGGCTCAGAAATCATCCTAGGAAGCCCGCCCTGTTGATACCTGTCATGCTTAGCTCTTATGAGATGACCCAGTCCTTTAAAAAAAAAAAAAGTATCTCTCTTTATTCATTCTTTGGAGGCTTGAAGTGAATTCGGCAGCGTTCATTAAACACCTTCCAGCTCCTGTCATTTACCACTTCTTCAACATTCAGTTCTGACTGCATCCATTTCAACTTTGTCTGCTCTTTTCTAAGTTGCTTTAATAACGTTAAATCGTCTAAATTCTTTTCTCTCTCTTCTCGGAGATTTTTTACTACTTCTGACGTCTGGGCTATACAATTTTTTATGACTTTGTCTCTACTGGCATGAGCTGCCATCAATGACTCATAAAGCTGTTTACAGGTTTGGCTGGCATCAATTTTCCCTACAAAGGAAGCTGTTGGAACTATAGTGTTTAATTCATGTACTATTCTGTCATCAATTGTCCTCATCACCTTGAGTAATTCCTGGAACTCGGCGAACTCCTCACAGTTCACACCGCCACTGGGCGCCGCCATATTGGACCTCAACCAAGTCTTTAAGCCCTTGTTGCCCAGGCTGGAGTACATTGGTGCGATCTCAACTCACTGCAACCTCCACCTCCCGGGTTCAGGTGATTCTCCTGCCTCAGCCTCCTGTAGGCACGCACCACCACACCTGGCTAATTTTTGCATTTTTAGTAGAGATGGAGTTTCACCATATTGGTCAGGCTGGTTTTGAACACCTGACCTCAGGTGATCCACGTCTCCTCTCACCCCCGGCCTCCCAAAGTGCTGGGATTACAGGTGTGAGCCACCATGGTTGGCTGCGAGATGCATTTTTTTTTTTTTTTGTCAGCATCCAGAGGTCCACATTGCCTTCTACCTGCTGCTGGGAATACTAGCCTAGTCTCTGATTTTAAAATAACCCAAGAGGCTATCTTTTAGGTAAATAAAGACATTAGAATTTTCATACTTTTTCAGACCTGTGCTCTATCCTACACAGCATTCAAATCCAGCAGGATTTATATGCCTGATTTTAAGAGGTGATCTCAAAGCTTAGGAATCAACCCCCATTCTACTTAACCCGTTATGGCTTTATCATCCCTGAACTTACCTAACATCCTACTCTCTTCTTTTTTGAGATGGGGTTTTGCTCTTGTCCCCCAGGCTGGAGTGCAATGGCACGATCTTGACTCACTGCAGCCACCACCTCCCAGGTTCAAGCAATTTTTCTGCTTGGCTTCTGAGTAGCTAGGATTACAGCCCACCAAGCTGGGCTAATTTTTATATTTTTAGTAGAGATGGGGTTTCACCTTGTTGGCCAGGCTGGTCTCGAACTCCTGAACTCAAGTGATCCGCCCACCACGGCCTCCCAAAGCGCTAGGATTACAGGCATGAGCCATCACGCCTACCCCTAATATCCTACTCTTATATTTATATTTGTTCTAGCAACAGTTTTGAGTGATATTTAATATTTACTAAAGACAGACAAAAATCACTCATAACCCGGCTACCCCATCTCAGGTGATGTACACCCATCACTGACCTTTGAATTTGTCATCACAGCCCTGGAAAGATGTCAGTCAAGATGTCAATAGTGCCTAAAGGGCACAGGATGGAATTTTTTTTTTTTTTTAAATTTAGAAAGGCTCAACTTAAAGCTTACATTGAAAAAAGTAAATTATTCTTAATTCAGAGCACAAACCAGTCAAATCTGCCAGTCATCAACAGATGGCATTTTTCACACATTATACATGCTGTAGTCTAAAACAAAATTTGCAAATTAACTATAGAGTAAAAATTTGAGCCCACGCACTGCTTTTTATTTTTTCACTCAATGTATATTAAATGACTTTCAAGTATATTCTGGTTACTAGTTTAGGTCCAGTGGACACAGCAGTGAACACAACCACCATCAAAGCTTTTATGTAAATTAATGTTTTGGACAACACAGACAATAAAAAAGATAAATGAAATTTTGGTGCATTAAATTGTAATAAGAGCTAAGGAAACAATGCAGGTAAATGGTGGGTTAAATTTTAGACTGTTGCTGGGCGCAGTGGCTCATGCCTGTAATCCCAGCACTTTGGGATGCTGAGGCAGGAGGATCACCTGAGGTCAGGAGTTTGAGACCAGCCTGACCAACGTGGAGAAACCCTGTCTCTACTAAAAATACAAAATTAGCTGGGTGTGGTGGTGCATGCCTGTAATCCCAGCTACTCCAGAGGCTGAGGCAGGGGAATCGCTTGAACCTGGGAAGCGGAGGATGGAGTGAGCGGAAATCACGCCACTGAACTCCAGCCTGGCAACAGAGCAAAACTCCATCTCAACAGCAACAACAACAACAACAACAATTTTAGTCTGTGGCCAGGAAAAGTGTCACTAAGGTGTCTTTTTTGGCCAGACAAGGTAGGTCACGCCCGTAATCCCAACACTTTGGGAGGGTGAATCGGGAAGATCGCTTGCCCAAAATTTTGAAACTGGCCTGGGCAACATGGGCAGATTCCACCTCCACAAAAAATAAAAACATTAGCCAGGCATGGTGGCATGTGCCTATAGTTCCCAACTACTTGGGACTCTAGTGAGAAGAGCATCTTGGGTCCTGGGAAGTGGGTGTGAAGAGGCCAGAATATGCAAATGACTGAAAAGGTCAGTGTGGCCAGAGCTGGGAGAAGGAGGGACTGGAGGAGGAGATGAGGACAGAGAAGGGGTTGGTGAAGATGACATGTGGCCTCGTAGGTCATTGTAGGGCTTTGGCTTTCACTCTAAGTAAGAGTGAAAGCCATTTGAGAGTTGGTTGCAGATATTATGACATTTTACCTATAAAAACTTCAATATGCATTTCTTAAAATAAGGACACTCTACATAGAGATTCATTAGGAGAACACTGCTTTTTAAAAATTATTATCATTGGCTGGGCACAGTGGTTCATGCCTGTAATCCCAGCACTTTGGGAGGCTGAGGTGGGTAGACCACTTGAGGTCAGGAGTTCAAGACCTGGCCAACATGGCAAAGCCCCGTCTGTACTAAAAATACAAAAATTAGCTGGGTGTGGTGGCACTGGCCTGTAATCTCAGCGACTCAGGAGGAGGCTGAGGTAGAAGAATTGCTTGAACCCGGGAGGCGGAGGTTGCAGTGACCTGAGAGTGTGTCACTGCACTCCAGCCTGGGGGACAGAGCAAGACTCTGTCACACACAAAAAATTATTGTTATTGTTTATTTAGAGATAGGGTCTCGCTCTGTTGCCCAGGCTGGAGTACAGTGGTGCAATCATCACTCACCACAGCCGTGGCCTCCAGGCTCTAGTAATCCTCCCACTTCAGCCTCCCAAGTAGCTGGGACCATAGGCATCCGTCACCACACCTGGCTAATTTTTTTCTTTTTAAAAATTTTGTAGAGATAGTCCCTCACTATGTTGTCTGGGCTGGTTTTGATCTCCTGACTTCAAGTGACTCTCCTGCCTCAGTTCCCATACAGGTGTTGGTCCCAATGCCAGGCCTGAACATTACTTAATAATATCCCTAAATCATCTAATATACATTTTACATTCAAATTTCCCAAGTTGTTATGTAAATAATTTTGGAAATCGCCAGACATGGTGGCTCACACCTGTAATCCTAACACTTTGGGAGGCCAAGGCGGGCAGATTGCTTGAGCTCAGGAGTTCATGACCAGCCTGGGCAACACGGTGAAACCCCGTCTCTACTAAAATACAAAAAATTAGCCGGGCGTGGCAGCGTGCGCCTATAATCCCAGCTACTTGAGAGGTTGAGGCAGAGCTGCTTGAACCTGGGAGGCAGAGGTTGCAGTGAGCCGAGATCACGCCACTGCACTCCAGTCTGGGTGACAGAGCGAAACTCCGCCCCCAAAAAGAAATTTGGAAATCATATCTGTTGATTAAAGAACGTAAATAAATATACATGCCTGCCACTGCCTTCATACAGACTTTCCAAGCTCAGATTTCTTTTTTAACTTCACCCTAGAACGCAGCTCAGGAAGGCGGTGCAGTTTGCCTAGTGAACATTAGGGGGCGCCACAAGCCCATTATGCTATTTGCCAGCGCTGGTGACTTCCCTAGCCGAGGAGGGGGTGCCCGGGGTTCTGGGCAATTTTCACGGCGTCACACAAGACCTGTGATTTCAGGGTGCACGCAGAACCGTACAATGTCACCACTTCTGTAAGGAAAAGTCATAAAGACTTCAAAGCAGAATTCAATTTTATTCCATTAAAAGCCAGCTCAAGCCACACAGTACTTTTTCAGGGTGATTTTCAAAACTGTGCTGTGAAATCAAATTAACAAAGAGTTATAATTCATCGAGCTAACCACTTAAAGAAAATGACCCTAATCATTTGTGGAAAGCAAACTGAGAAATGATTGAGAAATTTCTTTTCTTTAAAATTTTACTTTTTTGAGATGTAGTCTTACTCTGTTGCCTAGGCTTGAGTGCAATGGCGTGATCTCGATTCACTGCAACCTCTACCTCCCACTTCAAGTGATTCTCCTGCCTCAGCCTCCCGAGTAACTGGGATTACAGGTGTCCCCCCCAAAAATCATGCCCAGCTGATTTTTGTAGAGACAGAGTTGCACCATATCGGCCAGGTTGGTCTCAAACTTCCGGCCTCAGGTGATCCGCCTGCCTTGGCCTCCCAAAGTACAGGCCTGAGCCACTGTGCCCAGCTTAATTTTTTATTTAAATGAAACAGAGAGGGGGTCTCACTATGTTGCCCAGGCTGGTCTCCAACTCCTGGCTCAATGAATCCTCCCACCTTGGCCTCTAAAGTGCTGGGATTATAGGCTTTAGCCACCACACTGGCCTCAAATACTCTTTTTCAAAAATGGATTTACAAGTCAAATTGTCAGTAGACAACCATTATGCAACTATTAAAAACAAATTTTAAAAAAATCAAAGTAATATATGAACATGATTGAAAGAAAAAAAATTTGAGGAATTACAAAGGGTTTTAAGAAAAATAATTGTTGGCTGGGTGTGGGGGCTCATGCCTGTAATCCGAGTACTTGGGCAGGCCAAGGTGGGTGGATCATGAAGTCAGGAGATGGAGACCATCCTGGCTTAACATGGTGAAACCCTGTCTCTACTAAAAATACAAAAAAAAAAAAAAAAAATAGCTGGGCATGGTGGCAACTTCCTACAGTCCCAGCTACTTGGGAGGCTGAGGCAGGAGAATTGCTTGAACCCAGGAGGCTCGGGTTACAGTGAGCTGAGATCATGTCACTGCACTCCAGCCTGGGCAACAAGAGTGAGACTCCATCTCAAAAAAAAAAAAAAAAAAAGAAAAAGAAAAATAATTATTTTCCCTCATATTTTCCGGAAACACTTTTTAAATAATATCTGGTTTTATCTCGAGTTCTTTGGGACGTTACCACAGTAAGCATTTTTTTTTTTTTTAAATAAATAGAGTCTCGCTCTGTCATCCAGGGTGGAGTGCAGTGGTGTGATCTCTGCTTACCCCAACCTCCGCCTCCTGGGTTCAAGTGATTCTTCTGCCTCAGCCTCCCGAGTAGCAGGGAGTACAGGCTC